ATTCCACTTCACTGTTGACAACTTAACTTTATACATTCCATGTTCCAATTTTTAATGGATGCTTACAGCTGTTTCTCCTCATTTTGAGTTGTAACCTATCAGCAAATAAGGTTCCAGCAGCAGTACTCCATTCACATCATATGGTCCAGCTCTTCCTCAGTCATATTTTGAGTGCCTTCCCATCTGAGGGGCACATCTTCCAGCACTCTATCTACCAGTGTTCTACTGCTAGTCATAATGTTTTCATCTACTGCCACTATGTCTAAGAAGGTTTTCAGTGGCTAAACATTCAGAAGTAGTCTGCCCCTCCTTTGTCCTATCCTGTCTTAGTCTGAAAGCTCTGCTGAAACCTGTCTGCCATGGGTAACCCAGTTAGCAATACCGATGACATAGCTTCCAGCATCCCAGTAACATGCAAGCTACCACAGTAACACAAACTGACAAGAGGAGTGGTGGCAGAAAACTCAGCTCCCACTGTAAAGAGTCTGGAGGTACCCTACTCTGTAAGTGAGCCTCTTGTCCAGACACTTAGCTTTACTCTGTCTGTGGTGTGGAAGCCACTGCTCTGTCCTGAGCTCTTGGTTCTACCTCTGTTGTCACCGCTTCTTTCGTGATACAGCTCTGTCTTCTGGGTTGAGGAGGTTCAATGCATAGGAATCTCAGAGTCTAGAGGATACATTCCACTACTGGTCCTTCTTTCTTGATGGCAGTGAGTCTCCTACCTTCCTGCTTCTCAGGATGGCTCATTTTAAACACAGCAGGATGACAAAACAGACCAATCCCCATATTAGAGTTTCATACACTCTATTTGCATGGTTGCACCCAGTCATTTGATGGAAGTTGCAAAGTCCAGGTATGGTGCTTTAGGCTAAGTGATGGATTGCAAAGTTGGTTTGAACTGTAAGATCTGCAGTTCAAATTTGTACCAGCTGCTCCTGGGAAACCCTATACAAGGTCGCTATGAGTCAGAACCTACTCAATAGCACTTACCAACAACAGCAACAAAGACTGGGTAGAAGAGCCATATCAGTTTGCTGCACTATATCTTACATCTGTTTGTGGCGTCTCTTCCTAGTTATGTTGACATTTGCCTTTTTCATTCTTGAAAGTTTTCTTCACCTCAAGGTTTTACATTTTAGTGACTCTTCACATGGCTTTTCTTTCCTCACTTAGAAATGGACTCAGAAAACAAGGAAGAAATCCCTGTGCATGAAGAATTCCTTTTGTGTTGTGGAATTGAGACCAAAGTTCTAAAATGTGGGCCCTGGACTGACCTCTTTAATGATCAAGGTGCCTATAGACCTAAGGTGCTTATTTTAATTATTACTGGTAAGTATGAAAACCTGGATGAGGATACTATACGAACACTTATAACTATATCTGATTTTAAGACAGTGTTACAGGTTAATTATAGAGAATGTTGTCAATATAAGAAATTTTATAGAAGGAACACGTCACTCGGCCCCTTGATAACCACAGCTAATACTTAGGGTTTTTTTTTTCCTTTTTCTTCTTTAAATTTATAATATGTGTATTATGTTACCCTGGAGTGGCACTGCAGGATAATACACTGGACAGCAAGGTCAGTTTGAACCACAAGGTCAGCATTTCAGACCCACCAGCCACTCCTCAGAAATGCTATACAAGGTATAGCTTCGGGTTCGAACCAACTTGACGGCACTTACCAGCGACAATATTATGTTGTCATATATGTATGCATGTATACAGATCACCCATTGGTGACATTGTAGGATAAGCACTGGATTGCTAGGCACAAAGATGACTGTTCAAACCCACCAGTCATTCCACAGTAGAAAGATGAGGCTTTTTACTCCTATAAAGATTTACAGCCTTGGAAACTAAATACAGTGTCACTATGAGTCAGGACTAACTGAACAGCACTGTGCAACAACAATATGTGTAAGTATTTATATATGTATATATATTTTTGTAGTTGTTCAGTACCGTCAAGTCAGGTCGGACTCACAGTGACCCTATATAGTGTTTCCAAGGAGCAGCAGGTAAGTTTGAACTGCTGCCTTATAGTTCAAACCGACCTTTCAGTCTAGTGCTTTTCCTATAGTACCACACATACGTGTATATATATATGCATATACATACATACATATTTGTTGTTAGGTGCCGTCAAGTTGGTTATGACTCACAGCAACCCTGTCTGTATAGAATTTCCAAAAAGTGGCTGATGAGTTTGAACTGCGAGCCTTGTGGTTCATACCAACCCTGTGGTCTAGTTTTTTATCCCAAAGCACCACACCAGGACTCCATGTACATCTCACAAGGTCAGCAGTTCAAGCCCACCAGCCACTCCACAGGAGAAAGGTGAGGTTTTCTGATCCTACAAACATTTAAAGCCTCAGAACCCCTATACAGAGTCTCTATTTATTTATTTATTTTGTACTGTTTGTTTATATTGTCTTCTTGGTTTAGTGGATTTGGCAACCAGGTCCCTGTGACAATTCTAGGTCACTATTTAGTAGATTGTTAGGGATAATACTTGCTTTCAGTCATTTAAGCATTTTTTTTTTTTTTTAATTGCAAGTGAGTTTAGTTTGAATATATATGTTTATAGTTCATTTGTGTTCTATGAACTGCCAGATTGAAGTCTTTGAAGATTTCTGAACTGTGTTGTCAATGTTTTCCTTACTGATTTGTGATAGCCTTTTATATATATATATATAATGCTTTGCTTATTATATGTAGCAAGACTCTTTCCTGATTAGTCGTTTTACTCCATTTATAGTATTTATTTGTACAGACACAAAAAACACAACAGAAAGCTGCCTCCTCAAAGTAGAGTCAACCTTAATAACATGGATGAGGTAATACTTCAGTATTATTCATTTGCTGATATGGCGTGACTCGAAATGAGAAGAAACAGCTGCATGCATCCATTAATGAAAAGAATGTGGATTGTATGAAGCGCTCAAAAATGAAACAGAACTCTTGAAGATAGGTATTCTAGGTGAGCTGAAATGGAATGCTATTGACCATATTGAATTAGCTAATCATATGGTCTATATTATGCTGGGAATGATCAGTTGAAGAGGAATGGTGTCTTATTCATCATCAAACAAACATTTCAAGATTTATCCTGAAATACAGTGCTGTCAGTGTACCTACAGGGGAGACCAGTTAATACTATTATTATTCAAATTTATGCACCAGACACTAAGGCCAAAGATAAAGAAATTAAAGCTTTTTACCAACTTATGGGGCCTGACATTGTTCAAACATGCAGTCAAAATGCTTATATATTTCTGGTGATTAGAATACAAAAGTTGGAAACAAGAGAGATTGTTGTCTGGTGTTGTTGAGTCAGTTCCGATTCATAGCACCTTCCTCACAATCGCTAAGCTTGAGCCCATTGCTGCTGCCACTGTGCCAGTTCATCTAGTTGGGGTTTTCCTCTTTTTTGTTGACCCTCTAGTTTACCTAGAATGATGTCCTTCTCCAGGGACTGGTCCCTCTTGATAATATGCCTGAAGTATGACAGATGAAGTTTCGCCAGCCTGGCTTCTAAGGAGCATTGTAGCTATACTTCTTCCAACATAGATTTGTTTGTTTTACCAGCAGTCCATGGGACTTTTAATATTTTTCTCCAACATTGTAACTCAGATGCTTCAGTTCTTCTAGAGTGTCCCCTCTTTCTAATTTTCACATGCATATGAGGAAAAATACCCTGGCTTGGGTCAGGTGCACCTTAGCCTGCAAACTGACATCTTTGCTCTTGAATACTTTAAAGAGGTCTTGTGCAGCAGATTTTCCTAATGCAATACATCATTTGATTTCTTGACTGCTGCTTCCATGAGTGTTGATGGTGATTCAAGCAAAATGAAGTCTTTGACAACTTTAGTCTTTACTCCACTTATAATGATGCTATCTATTGGTCCAGTGGTGAGAGTTTTTGTAATTGTCAGTCTTCTTCAATTAGAGAATGAACAAGATTAATTTTCTCCTCACAAATTGATGTGGATGGACTGCCCCTGTACACTTTATTAAGGGGCAGAACTCAGACTTAAACTCAGATATAGAATAAAAATTTGTTTTGTAGTCATTCTGTTATCTAGTACCCAGTGGTTTTTATATATCCTCTTATTACTATTGCTTCTAATGGATGTAGTTGTTATCTATCGATTTTCCTTTATGTTCAAATAATTTTTAATTGTGCTGACAATTATAGTAACAATAGCTACTTTTTCTGTGGTAATTGTTACATAAGTGCCATTCCTTATCCCTAGTCCCTGACTTACAATGAGGTTCTGTTCTATGCCTCTGTTATAAGTTTAGTTTTTTAGTGCTATTTTAAATATAATTACTATAAGATTTTAAGCAAATTCACGTCAGCTTTCAGATCTGCTGCTTTAACAAGTGAATGATAATGGCATCTGTTTTAGATTCATTCATCCTATTAGTATTAACATTTTTTGTATGTTCTTTTAGTCATCAAATACTTGTTTTTAGCATTTATGTTATGTAAGTCAATATGTTCAACACAAGAGAGATAAAGGCCCTTATGAAATTTACATTGTGGAGGAAGAAAAAGTAAATAAGGGAATTCAGGACCATGATAACTGTCATGAAGGAAATAAATAGGACCATTTGATAGTTGGCTTGAAAAAATGTCTTAGAAAGTGCTATTTAATTGAAATCAGAAGGATGAGGATGAAAAATCGGATTACAAGGATTTGAGGGAAGAGAGAAGAACAAGTTGAAAAGGTCCTCAAGAAATAAAGAGCTTAGCTCCTGAGGAAACAAAAGAGGCCATAATTCTTAGTTCACTCTTTATATGCAGTTTGTCAGTATAGCTAAAGTATTGTGAGGAATATAGAATCTTGCATGAGATGAGATTTCAGAGGAAGAGAAATATGACTATGTAGTAGTTTGTAGGGCATAAGACATGTGACTTTTATTCTAATATTGTAAGGTAAGATGTGATCAAATTTAAAATTTAGGGACGTTATTCTACACTAAAAGGACAATTAGTAAATACTATAAACAATTTTATCTCAAAAAAATTTGACAACTTACTTGGAATAAAGTCCTAGAAAGATACAAACGATCAAAGCCACTACAGAAGAAATAGATAACTCTAATAGCCCTGCCTCAATTAAATAAATTGAAATTGTATGTAAAAACCAACCATAAAGAAATCCCAAGGCCTTTATGGCTTCACTAGAGAACTCTACCAAATATTTTATGTAGAAATACCAATTTTACACAGACTCTTCCAGAAAATTTAAGGGGAATGAACACACTTCCAAACTCATTCTATGAGTCCAGCATTATCCTGATAGCAAAAACTAGGCAGACATTACAAAATGAAAACTATGAACATAGATGTAAAAAAGCTAATAAATAGCAAATTGTATCTAACAAAATATGAAAAGATACTAGTCATTAGGGAATTGCAAATCAAAACTACAGTGAGACCTCATACCCTCTAAGATGGTTATTATCAGAAAAATGGGAACTAACAAGTATGGGTGAGGTTAAGAAGAAATTAGAATTCTCATTCATTGTAGGTAGTAATGTAAAATGGTAAAGTTGCTATAGAAAACAGTTTGGAAAAACCTCAGAAGTTAAACGCAATTATAATGCGGCTCAGAATTTCCACTCCTATGTGCAAGGGGTTTTAAAAAAATAATTGAAATATATGTATTATGAAAAAACTATGCATGGATTTCAAAACATAAACTCATACTAACTTAATAGAGTATGTCTAAGCAGCCTTTACTTTGAGGTACTAAAAAGGATAAGATAGCAGATTGAAAAGCACCCCTATCAGAGCAACAGGAATTTTGCTAAAATTGAGGCAAGAACAAACAAAATTTGTGGGAAGCTTTAGTGGAAAAATGGTGAAATCATTGTTCTTTATGAAGACAATGTGCCAAAGAAATCAGCCATTTATAATGGAGCTGTCATTTTAAGATAGGACAAGATGATGCTGAAGATGGAGCCCTCAGCTGCATACCATGCACATCAATTTGTGAGGGTAAAATTAATTAGTTTGTGCCCTAAATGATGAGGACTGGCAGTTAGCAGCAGAAACAATCACCAACACCGTAAACATCTCAAATAGTTCATGGTACACAATTCTGACTGAAGAATTAAATTGCAGCAAATTTTCTGCTCAATGGGTGCCAAAACTATTGTGCCCAGATCAGCTGCAGACAAGAACAGAGCTTTCAAGGGAAATTTTTAACAAGTGGGATCAAGACCCTGAAGCATTTCTTAGAAGCATTGTAAGAGGAGATGGGATATAGCTTTACCAGTACAATCCTGAAGACAAAGCACAATCAAAGCTACCA